TGATGCTCTAAAGAATCTTCTTATAATGGAAGAAGTATTGTCATGTCTTCCAGACCAGTTGTCTACTTTTATGGCAGAACAAAAGAATGTAACAGATATTGATGAGCTGTCAAAGCTCGCGGATGAGCATGAGTTGCTGACTAAGGCCCCGTTTACGGCCACTTCACCTAAGTCTAGTCGTAGAGTAAATTTCAATGCTCACCGTACTCCTTATCAGTATAAGTCTCCTCCTGGTGCGACAGTTACTCCCGTGAACTCTTCTCTTACTAACCCTAAGATGGTTACTCCATTGCCAGGATCATCTAAGCCTAGTAATGCTAATTCTAAACCGGCAGTTGGTTCTACCAGTGTGTCCACTGTCAAACATTGTACCCATTGTAAGAGAAGGGGGCATGTGATTTCTTCATGTTTTAGTTTGCATCCTGAACTACGACCAACTGGTCTTATTATGAGTAAAGGAGTGCAACCTATTAATTCTTCATGTATTACAGTCAGTCCCAATTGGATGGCTGAATTCAAACCCTATATTTCCACAGGTACCTTATTATGTAATAATGGTAGACATAAGACTGTTCAATTACTCCGTGATACTGGAGCTTCACAGTCTCTTATTACCCAGAAGGTACTTGATGATGTTGACACCCGAGATCTGGGTGAAGTTGTGCTTCTCCAGGGTATTGCCGGTAGTGTGCAACCAGTGTCCTTATTGCAAGTTAACCTTGATTCTAACTATACTTCAGGATGGTGTAATGTTGGTGTAAGTAAACAACTGCCCATTCCTGGGGTAGACATTATTCTAGGTAATGATTTTGGCAACCAAATGGTTGTAGGGCCCAAGTGTCCCATCATGTTAACTAAACCCCATAATGTATTAGCTCAACCAGTAGCAGATGATGATATTATTTACCCTGCTTGTGTTGTTACTAGATCAATGGGAAAAACAGGTGAGAGTAATCCTGTCTTCACTGAGGTTGCTGTTCCCAAGACCAGGACCCCTTCAGAAAAGGAGTGGGAGGTGGATCTTGAGGATTCTTTTATGACTCGACTGGATGATGAGAGTGAGGCCGTAGTAGAAGCCCCGCCGAACCTAAATCACAAGGAAAGTGAAGGTGAGGAGGCTGAACTATCTGTACCTTGCCCGCTTGTCTCCAGTGCGCCAGTTGTCGAGAGTGAGGCCGAAGTAGCTATGACTCCATTTTATTCTGATCAATCGGGAAAAGAGATCAAGCTACTAGGTTCTTGCCCGCTCGCTGCTGAGTCTGAGTCATTGCCCTTAAGTGTTGTACAGACTACTGATCCTAGTTTAAGTAAGTGTATTTCTGAGGCTCCTGATAATATTGATGCATTGGAGGAAGGGACGGGTTTCTTCTTCAAGGATCGACTTCTGATGAGAAGGTGGAGACCCAAGGGAACTCCCTCTTCAGAGGATTGTGAGATCAGAACCCAACTCGTTGTCCCCAATGATTACCGTAGGCAGGTCCTGCAGGCTGCACATGATGACCCATGGGAGGTCATCAAGGTATCACGAATATGTACCATAAGATAAGTAAATATTTTTTCTGGCCAAAGTTAAAGAAAGACGTGGTCAGATATTGTCATAACTGTATACCCTGTCAAATTGTTGGTAAACCAAATCAATCTGTACCTAGAGCACCATTGCAACCTATTGTAGTTCCTGATGAACCATTTACTCATGTTGTAATTGATTGTGTGGGTCCTTTACCTAAGACTAAATCGGGTAACATGTTTTTGTTCACTCTCATGTGTATGACTACTAGATTTCCTGAAGCTTATGCTCTACGGAATACCAAGGCTCATAATCTCATCAAGTGTCTTGAAAGATTCTTTTCGTTGTTTGGAATGCCTAGAGTTATTCAGAGTGATAATGGGGGAAATTTTGTTTCTAAAGTTTTCAGAACTTTTTGCGAATCCCGAGGGATTCGGCACAAATTATCCAGTCCATATCATCCACAAAGCCAAGGTGGACTTGAACGTTTCCACCAGACTTTGAAACAAATGCTCAGGACAACCGGAGAAACTCATCCACGTAATTGGGATGAGAATCTCCCCTTTGTGTTGTTTGCTGCTAGAGAAGGGCTACAAGAGTCATTGGGCTGTTCACCCTTTGAACTAGTGTTTGGTCACCAAGTAAGAGGTCCTCTTAAAATGCTACAAGAAAAGTTGTTGGGAGATGTCTCTGTTCATCAGAGTGGATTGTACTTGAGTGAGGTCAAGGCTAAGTTGTGTCGGGCTCGTGAGTTGGCGAAAGAACATCTGGGAAGGACTCAACAAGCCATGAAAGTAAGATATGACAAGAAGTTCAAAGCTAAGCTAAGGTCGTTTGATGTCGGGGATTTGGTGTTGGTGTTGAAACCTCGTATGGGGACTTCCATGTCCCATAAGTTCGCAGGACCCTACCAAGTGGTAGACAAGGTGGGAGACCTAACTTATAAACTAATTAACCCTAATCTTTCAGAACCCCAAATGACTGTGCACATTAACAGATTAAAAGCTTATGTTGGACCTGGTGTAGTAGCTTGTTTTAGTCGGGAAGGGTTACCACCTGAGGATAATTGTAGTGAGAGACATGATGTTAATATCCCACTTCTCAGTTCCAGTTCCAATGGCAGGGAGATGCTATGTCATTTACAGGAGGAACAACGTGATGAGTTCCAGGTTCTGCTGGACAACCATACATCTCTGTTTGGGGAGGTTCCTACCCAGACCCACCTCATCACACACGACGTTCAGCTCCTGGACAGCACCCCCATTCGACAACATCCGTACCGAGTGAATCCCGAAAAGAGGAAAATTATGCAAGCAGAAGTGGAATATCTGCTCCAGCATGATTTCATTCGGCCAAGTCAAAGTACTTGGAGCTCTCCGTGTTTGTTAGTGCCAAAACCAGATGGAACCTGGAGATTGTGCGTGGATTACAGGAAACTGAACAAGAACACTACAGTGGACGTTTTTCCTTTACCCTTGTTGGAAGAATGTATAGAGTCCATAGGTCATGCCGAATATGTAAGTAAGCTTGATTTGTCAAAAGGGTATTATCAAATTCCATTAACAGAGTATGCTAGAGAGGTTACTGCTTTTGTTACACCTGATGGTGCGTATGAATTTAATGTCATGCCATTCGGATTGAGAAATGCACCTGCTACTTTTCAAAGATTCATGAATTTCTTACTCAAGGATGTGCCAGATTGTAGGGCCTACCTTGATGACATTGTTCTGTACAGTAAGAATTGGGCAGATCATCTCTTAGGCCTTAAGAACTTGTTTACAGTGTTGAAAAACGCAAAGTTAACCATAAACATGAATAAGTGTAGTTGGGCAAAAGGTACGATAACTTATCTTGGACACGAGGTAGGACAAGGTAAGATTATCCCCTTACAAGATAAGATTCAAGCCATTGTGGACTACCCAGTGTTGACCAATAAGAAAGGAGTCCAACGGTTTATTGGTATGTGTGCATACTATAGGCGTTATTGTAGAAATTTTTCAACAGTAGCTGCTCCTTTGACTAACTTGTTACGCAAGCAAGTAAAGTTTCAGTGGACACAAGATTGTCAGAATGCTTTTCAGAACCTAAAGGGCATATTGTCCACCTCACCTATTCTTGCTAGTCCCCAATTTGATAAACCATTTATATTACACATTGATGCGTCAGATGTTGGAATAGGTGCTGTGCTTATTCAAGTTGGTTTAGACCAGATTGAGCATCCTGTGTATTACTATTCTAGAAAATTTAATGCAGCTCAGAGAAATTATTCCGTGGTAGAAAAGGAGGCGTTGGGTCTTATATTGTCAATCAAGAAGTTTGAGATTTACTTATCAGGAAATAAAGTGTTAGTATTTACAGACCACAACCCCCTTATCTTTATCAATATGATGAAAGTCAAGAACCAACGAATTCTGCGCTGGTCATTGTTTTTGCAGGAATTTAATGTAGAAATCAAACATATTCCAGGCAGACAAAATGTTATTGCTGATGCTTTGTCAAGAAGTTTTGATGTACCATAAATGAAATGTTTCTTTTTACTTAACATTTTTACTTCGGAAAAAATGCCATTGATCTTCAATCCATTGCATTTTTTTTCTTGGAGGTGGAAGTGTTACGTACCCTTATAAGATACGTAAGTAAATATATTAATATGTACATTTATAATTGTGTATAAATTACAAGCATGTATATTGTTATACTTATATGTCTATGCAAATGCACATTCATGTTACAGTGTTGGCGTTAGGCCCAACGTATCGTGGGAATGATTGTTTTATTTCTTTGTGTGCTCAGTTTTCCCACGGGAACTAATGATTTATATGTGATCATAAGTGGGTAACAGAGGTGAATAATAATTGAGTGAACTGTATCTGGCAAATTGTCGTGGGATCGTCCGTTGCTGGGTGTGCATGCCATTATTCCCTTCTGTATGCATATTTTAATTACTATGTAAAGAAACTATTACTTTAATTTGTGTATATCAATATGTATTAATTATTCATTAAGTTAGTTTAAGATTACTCTTGTCACAATGTATTGCTCCATTGTTGAAATAATAAATATTGTAACTTTGGCAATTTATTCGCGGGGCAAGGCAATCTGTTTTGATTCTCGCGTTATTTTAGTCAGTAGCTGAGCAGGAACCAGGGAGATAACATCTTGGAGTTAAGTTATAATATTTTGTTCTGTCATAGCCAATATTAATATTTTAATTTAATGTCTGGAAGATATAGTGATATTTTTAATGTGATATATTGTGGCCATATAATCATCTGTTTGCTTTTGAGATTTATTTAATATATTTATATATATATACTTGTTGTATCTCTTCTTCAGTCCTTTGAAGATTTATTATTGTGCTCATTACTTATCAAGGGGTTATACTGGTGATTCGCTATTGAGAACAGCAGTTGTGTCGTATCCCTAGACGTAATTAAAGTTTGGCTGCTGTAGGATCACGAGCCTTAACGTACGATAGGTAACACACTCACACATGACCAAGTACCGGCAAGCACCACTGGAGACAAGTACCGACAAGCACCACTGGAGACAAGTACCGGCAAGCACCACAGGATACAAGTACCGACAAGCATCACTGGAGACAAGTACCGACAAGCACCACTGGAGACAAGTACCAGCAAGCACCACTGGAGACACGTACCGACAAGCACCACTGGAGACAAGTACCGACAAGCACCACTGGAGACAAGTACCGGCAAGCACCACTGGAGACAAGTACCGGCAAGCACCACTGGAGACAAGTACCGACAAGCACCACAGGATACAAGTACCGACAAGCACCACTGGAGACAAGTACCGGCAAGCACCACTGGAGACAAGTACCGGCAAGCACCACAGGATACAAGTACCGGCAAGCACCACTGGAGACAAGTACCGACAAGCACCACTGGAGACAAGTACCAGCAAGCACCACTGGAGACACGTACCGACAAGCACCACTGGAGACAAGTACCGACAAGCACCACTGGAGACAAGTACCGACAAGCACCACTGGAGACAAGTACCGGCAAGCACCACTGGAGACAAGTACCGACAAGCACCACAGGATACAAGTACCGACAAGCACCACTGGAGACAAGTACCGACAAGCACCACAGGATACAAGTACCGGCAAGCACCATTGGAGACAAGTACCGGCAAGCACCACTGGAGACAAGTACCGACAAGCACCACTGGAGACAAGTACCGACAAGCACCACTGGAGACAAGTACCGACAAGCACCACTGGAGACAAGTACCGACAAGCACCACTGGAGACAAGTACCGGCAAGCACCACTGGAGACAAGTACCGGCAAGCACCACTGGAGACAAGTACCGACAAGCACAACAGGAGACAAGTACCGGCAAGCACCACTGGAGACAAGTACCGGCAAGCACCACTGGAGACACGTACCAACAAGCACCACTGGAGACAAGTACCGGCAAGCACCACTGGAGATTCAACTTTACATTGCATGTTGCTATGCCACAGGAAGCAGCACCACCACAGGGGTCTGCCAGGACCCAGGACCAAACAGCTACACATTTGGAAAGGTGTTCTTTGCAGATCAAGAATATAACATATGAAGCAAAAAATTTGGCATATTCATACATAAGTTCTCCAGATTAAGTGAATATTGGTTAGTCCTGGTTTTCCTATATTCCCATGGTCTGAAGTCACCTTCATAAAGTCATGAAATCACCTTCATAAAGTCATGAAGTCACCTTCATAAAGTCATGAAGTCACCTTCATAAAGTCATGAAGTCACCTTCATAAAGTCATGAAGTCACCTTTAGGCCAAAAAATGTAGACGAGAACAGCATCCCTGTTCCCTCTAGTTAACATCAATCTAATAAAATAATCTTATTTTAGTTTAAAACTATTTTGTACCTATGAATAAAATATGTGACGGTAAACGAAAATAGGTTAATTTTCGTTTACCTATTTTTCGTTAATTTATAGAGACCGCAATGACTTCATTTAAGCCTGATAGAGTCACAAGCCCTTAGACCAGGGCTCTTCAAGGTATGGATCGCGATCCGCTACTGGGCCGCGAGATGCTTATCCAGACACCCCGCGAGGTCTCACACATTACATACTGGGCACCTTACTGACTGACGTCATTTATCACCATAAAGTTATCGTCATTACAAATATGTTTTAAGAACAAAAATTCCTTCAGAACTTAGCGTGTGATGTTTAACCTTTATAGAGTCCAAGACCAGGCATAATCAGAGTAGTGGAAGGTTGTGTTTGGAAATGGTTGTAATCCTTCCCACCTACTGTATCACACTGGGGGTGTAGTACAATAAGGGGTACAGTAGGGTGTGGCACAATTGTATGAGAGAGACAGACAGGCAAATAGAGTTAGACAAGGAAAGAGACAGAAACAGACAGTAGATAGATGAATATATAGATAAAAGGATAGATTAGTGGATACATGAATAGGTGGTTGCATTGATGGATGGATAAGTCGGTAGATTGATGGAGAGATGAATAGACAGATGAGTATATGGCTGGATATGAAGGTGAGTAGCTGGATAGGTAGGTAGATGAATAGGTGGATACATGGATGGAGAGATGGACAGAGATAGACGAGTCGATGAATGGACAGAGATTGACAGATGAGTAGATGGATGTATAGACGGATAGGTAAATGGATAGATAGATTGATAAATAGCGAGATGAATAGATAGGATGATGAACAGATGTATGCACATATGGATGGATTGAAAGAGTGATGAACGAATAGCTGGTATGACGGGAAAAATGGATGGTATCGCAGTCTCTCTAGGGCAGATGGAATGCCTGTCACATACAGCAAAACAAAGGTAAACAAAAAAAGTTAGACTGCTATTTTAATTCCACACTGAGGTAACTGTAGGATAAAGCACAGAGAGAAAAAAATTTAAAATGCTTTACTTATGAAAATTTACTTTAAACAATTTATATAACAAAAATAATATCCAGGCTTGGCTCAATTCAACGTGTGCAAAACAAACAATAAGACCAATCAAATTTACGTTATGTTAATGTGCAAATAAAATGGTGCAGGAATACTGTGAGCTAGTCTGCATAAACCTGCTACCTCACCGAGGTATACCAACAGATCTACGCAGTAGAGCACGAGAGAGTATTCTGAAGGAGTAAGGCTGTATAGCCTCTATATATAGGCGAAACGGCCGTCCAGGTGGCGCTGGTGATGTAGATAACTGCGAGCCGGCTCACTTGAACTACCATACGCTTGTTTCAGGCAGTGGCGTGATCCTAGAGCCATCGCCAAGTGTGAGGGTCTGACGGGCCCTGGGGCAGGTAGACTGGTGGTACACTGTCTAGACGTCTGAGAAGCAGTTGTTGTCATTGTTGTGCTGTAACTTCTTGAGTTCTTAAATATGTAGACGTGGTGTAGTAGAATAGATGATGATGGAGCAGGCCGAATCTCCTTTTAAGAGAGATTACCGTGACACTGGATAGATGGATGTATGGATAAATAAGTAGATGGATCAATGGATATACCTATAGCTGAATAGATGGATAGATATATGGACAGATGGTCAAAAAGATGTATGGATAAGTGGATAAATAAATGGACTGATGGATGGTAATGAAGATGGATAGATAGTTGGATGTATGGATAGAAGGATAGATATATATAGACGAATAGAAAAAATACAGATAGGTGGATGAATAGATAGGAGACAGATAGACCCGAGCAACGCCGGAACCCCCCCACCCCCCACCCCCCTCCCCCATCATTTATCACAGAGTGATAAATAAGCCGGAAGCCGCCTAGGTGAGCGCGCGCCCGTCACCCGCCTCCAGGCGTCGAGGAACCTACTACTGACTGCAAGGATCAAAGGCAAGAGTCACCACAACGTTTTTTAGCAAGTCAACTCAATGTTTGGCAGTTATTTCAACAAGGCATTTGGGACTGCAGCTCGTGTTTTATCGTTGATGTTATTCTTGAGTGTTCTCTGGTTAGCATCAAAGGAAAACTAGATTCGTTGTTGTTGTTATTGTGAGGGGATAAAAGTGAATTCGTTGGTCTGGAAGACTATCTTTATAGAACGTGCATTGTGAGAGAATTAGTATAATACCCCTCTGTCGTACCCTCCTCTGTACCCCCCGACACACCCATTCCTATACCCTCTCTATACCTTTGTCACACCCTCATGTCCTACCCATACCGTCTTTACCTACACATACCCACTCCCGTACCCCCCCCCCCTCCCCTGACGGCACTGCTCGCCAATGGGGCCCTGCCTCACCCCCTACCACTTCCTCAGGGCTGAACGTTGAGCAGCTGGAGAGTGCTGCCGAGGAGCTCCAGGGGCTGTGTTCCCTGCTGCAGGCGGAGCTGGAGCTGTACAGCAGGTACCTCAACAGCCAGGTGCTGCTGCAGGAGGAGGCTGGCGCTCACACACACCTCACACCAGGTGCCGCCTCAGGTGGGTAGCACACGACTCATCTTCAATAGCTTATGAAGAATAAGAATACTTGTTTAATTTGAATTACTAATAAAGATAAGGATAGCAAATACCATTAGAAGTTTGTATGTATGTGAGAGATTGATGTCTCAGCCCAAGCTCATGTTGTGAGATGTGCTTGCCATGTGCAACTCTCATATGCATTGTCCGAGATGGGTCGTGTCTGATGGCTGAGGGTTGTCTGCGCTCTAGGGAGTTTAGTGATATTAATTATGTTGACCTGTATCCTCACACTGAACTTGAATCAAATGAGAAATTGCTTGCTACCAGTGGTACAGGGAGCCGAGAGTTCAGTGGAGGTAAGACTTAGTATTGAGCGGTATGGTGGATACACTGATGGGTCATCTACTCACACCAATGACAGGGATGGAGCAGCAGACACTGTTATTAGGAATAATGCTTTTCAAAACGTAAATGAAGAAAAAGAATGTATTGAGAACTATGCCTGTTCAATGCAACCACAGCTAACAATGATGTTAATCTCTCTCTCTCTCTCTCTCTCTCTCTCTCTCTCTCTCTCTCTCTCTCTCTCTCCTTTCAATAAACAAATATGTTTTCTTGATTTATTTTTTTATTTATCCTCCTCTTGAATGGAGGAAACTAATGTATATTGAAACTTTAGAATGCTCGTGACATTAATTTTTGGTTCCTGTTATTTATATGCCAACAATGTCGAAATCGAATTAAAAAGTTTTACAGATACATAAAAATGAAGTGTTACGATTGTACAAGTTTGCTGCATGGCTTTAATTCCTGTGAATTTTATGGATCAAGAAATTATATATTCATGTTTATTAATAAAGCTTTTAAGTAATAAATTCAATGACAATATTACCCACATAGTTATAAACAAGATGATATATGTTGAAAATAATTATTAAAACAAGAATCTATCAGTACTAGGATCAATCAACACTAGCAACAATCAACACCAGCAACAATCAACACCAGCAACAATACAGACCAGCAACAATCAACACCAGCAACAATCAACACCAGCAACAATACAGACCAGCAGGTCATCTAGGTACACACACACACCTATGATGATGCTGCCAGCTGTGTGAAGGCTTAGTGTTGCGTCGTGTCCTCAGGCTCGGGCACGGCCACGCCCACCATCTCCTCCCTTGACGTACGTGGCTTGTGGCACGGCCAGGTGGTGACCAGGGGTCGCCGGGAGGCATCTACCAGGTGAGCACGACCAGGTGGTGACCAGGAAGGGTTGTGGGAGGCATCTACCAGGTGAGCACGACCAGGTGGTGACCAGGAAGGGTTGTGGGAGGCATCTACCAGGTGAGCACGAGCAGGTGGTGACCAGGAAGGGTTCTGGGAGACATCTACCAGCGAGGAGCTCCCTGGCCATCACCAGGTGGTGACCAATCTTTAAGTATTCAGCTCCAGCATGGAGTTCATATCTAGTTAAGCACAAGACTAAAGTGGGGAAGGTTCTAAGGTATGCCACCTGAGGAGTACCCGAGTTGACAGGTGTGAGCTACGAGGAGAGACTACGGAAACTAAACCTCTTGTAATTGGAAGACAGAAGAGTTAGGGGAAGACATGATCACCACATACAAGATTCTCAGAAGAATTGATAAGGTTAATAGACAGATTATTTAACACAGGCGGAACACGCACAAGGGCACACAGGTGGAAGTTGAGTACCCAGATGAGCCACAGAGACATTAGAAAGAACTTTTTCAGTGTCAGAGTAGTTAGTAAATGGAATGCACTAGGAAATAATGTGGTGGAGGCTGACTCCATACACAGTTTCAAGTGTAGATATGATAAAGCCCAATAGGCTCAGGAATCTGTACACCTGTTGATTGACGGTTGAGAGGCGGGACCAAAGAGCCAGAGCTCAACCCCCGCAAGCACAACTAGGTGAGTGTACACACACACACACACACACACACACACACACACACACACACACTAAAATAACGTGTAAATACCACTGGCAACAGAGCCACTAAACACTTCCCTCTGACCAGATTGTCTGAGCGTGAGAAGTGCGGACTGTGGCAACGGGAACTGGAGATTGTGCTGGTCAACAGGAGAAAACAGGACAAGCTCTGGCAACAGGAGCTTCACAAGTACCA